ACAGGCGGGGGCGCTGACGCGCGCGGGTGAGGGGCGCTGTCCCCTCTCCCTCAACCCTTGAGAAAGAAAGAGAGAGAGAGAGAGAGAGAGAGACCGCCCAACCAAAGCGCGCCATGGTGAAGCTCTACAAGAGAAAGCCGACGTTGTCTCTCCAAAACTGGCGGATGGCAGTTTTTAGAACCTCGAGTCATCCTTTGAGCTTGCCCTGGTGCCTTGTCAGGCGAACTTCGTGAGCGCACTGTGCGCACACCTCGTTTCTAGTGGCTACGAGGCGAGCCCTGTGCAAGGATTTTTGAAGTTTGTTTGCTTGGTAGGCTCGGGACCTCACATGCAGGAATCACAGATTACGGTTCTCTCGCCATACTTGGGACAGGCCCGGTCAAATTCGAGCTCGACTGGTATTCAATCTGCACATAAACCTTCTTTCAGGTGCGGCTTCTGAAACGCAAGATCCAACGTGATCCGTCTACACAGGGGATTGCTGTCACGGCCGTGGACAATTTCCAGGCATGGAAGGTTTCAGATGCGAACATGTCGGTCTGGAAAGCATAGGATGCGTAGATATGCGTAGTGGCATATTCCATCTCAGCAAGCAGCAAGGGCGAAGAGAATGACGTCATTGTCGTCTCACTCGTGCGGTCAAACAGGCAGGGAAACTTCTAATCTGCCCTTCTTGTTGCCTTCTCCTAGAGTGCCGTCCTCCTCGCGGTATGACAGGGCTCGGCAGATGGGCTTTCTGGCAGCTGCGCCCTCAAGCACGAGAGCACAGCACACCGTCAGGGCAGTGTGACACTTAGGTTGACAACCGCATCAACGTCGCACTAACGAGAGCACGCCATGGCCTCTTCATCATCGGCAACACAGCCTTTCCCCCAGACAGCAGCCTCATGTTTCGCCGTTAGAGCCTCGAGTCGGCTTCTATTGACGCTATTTGCACTGAGCCCCAGAGCCCCCTCGGTTCGCGCTAATATCGAAAAACCTGCCAAACTCACGCCAAGTAAAGTGGAAAAGGGGGGGAGGTAAGTTCAGAGTTCTGCCAAGGTTAAAGCAACTTCATGCTTGGTTCCGTTTTTCCCACCCTACGATTGGACAGGTGGGCTGTCGGAGAGTGACTAGTTTCACAGTTACGCTTTACTATACTTCGCATGTCTGTGCAGAACTCAAGAGAAGATTCAACCATCTTACTGGGAATGGGATATAGTGGACCAGGCTGCCCTACAGCTTGGGCACATTCGAATCGATCGGGGCCGAGTGTTTGAGCCAAGAAGCCAGTTGAAAAGGTTTTCAACCTGTCACGAATGGAGTCTGATTTGATGCTCAATCTTCAATTCAAGAGGGTTCGAATGCGATGCGAATCACAGTGTGTTGTTCCACACCACTCTTGTTTGCACCCATGTCTGTGGTCGTTCGATAGCTACCATTGCCTCTTTCACTACAACTACCACTACTATTACTACGCCTCCTCCTACTACCACTACGACTCCTGCTGCTGCTGCTGCTGCTGCTACTACTGCTACCTTTGTACTACCACTGTACTACTACTACTACTACTACTACTACTACTACTACTGCTACTGCTACTACTACTGGTGGAGGGGGTGGCAGGGTGTGGAGGGTGGAGGGGTGGAGGTGGAGAGGGGTGGAGGTGGAGGGTGGATGGGTGGGGTGGTATTCGAAAATCGTCGCCGTACTGCTACTACTACTACTACTGCTACTACTACTATTGCTACTACTACTACTACTACTACTACTACTACGACTGCTACTGCTACTGCTACTGCTACTGCTACTCCTGCTACTGCTGCTGCTGCTACTACTACTACTACTACTACTACTACTACTACCACGACGACTACTGCTACCGCTGCTGCTGCTGCTCTTCTATTATTATTCCCGAAAGCTTCGGCGTCGGGTTCTTCCTTGGAGGGTTCGTCGGTTGGTATAGATGCATCTATGTTATACAAACTTACATACTGTTCTACTTGGATGTGTATAAATTACGAGCGTCCTTCTTATGTCTTAATATAAACGTATTTACACTACTTATTTAGAAGCCGGGGGTAACGAATTTTCGAGACTTGAAAACGTCGGCGGCAGCGAGGTTTCGTGCATCTTTGGGGGTCCGAAAAGTGGCTTGCACCTCTTTTACGAGGGGTTATGCAAGGAATGGTCGATCCATCGATGCGTCGTGGGGATCAGGTGACTGAATCTGTGGCGCCCTTGCTACTAAGCTTGGCGCCTTATCAGAATCCACTGTAAAAAGCCAGGTCCGAGGCACTTTTGTGTTTGTGCGAGTTTAGAGTTCGCAACCCTTCACGCGTGGGCGCGTTCTTTTTGTCAGCAAGTCATGGTATGATGTGTGAAAAGGCGCGGCGTGGATTTTCGGCGTCGGACGTGAACATCGCGATAGTAAAGGGGGAAACGGTTTTTTATCGACGTCGTTTTCAGGGCCCATTCGATATAAAACGGATACATCGTCCACTGAGATCGATTCTTGGTGATTCGAAAATGCTCAATTTTCGCAACAATCTGCGCAGATCGTGCGTGTCGTGTTTTCGAGTTTAACAAAAAGCCCCGAGGGCGCATTCCGCAAAAAATCGATGCATCGTCCACTTCGATCGATTCCTTCGCGACTCGGAGAAAGTCAAAACCGTTATCGAGCAGCATCGGTATTGTTTGTATGTCTCTTTGAAAAGCTACATTGCGACGACATGTACCCCAAAACGTGGGTGTCGTGCACTTGTTGTGCTTGGGGCATATTTCGATTTTTTTCGCGAGTTTTTACCGAGCATCATTGGGCTTGTCTGGAAAAGGCCTTCGAAGGCGCTCTATGTGCTCTTCCCGATTTGGCAACCTTCATCGAACATCAAACGCGAAGGTCCAGTCTGAAATTTATGTATCTTTGTATTGTGGGTGTTGTCAACTTTAAGGACACTACAAGTTTGTAACGCGAACGTCCAGCCTTCAATATCTTTATCTTTGTGTTGTAGGCGTTGTGAATTTTAAGGACACCAGTTTGTAACGCGAATTTCCGCCGTTGAATTCCTGTGTCTTTATACTGTAGGCGTTGTGAGCTTTAAGGACACTATCAGGTTGTAGCGCGAACTTCCACCGTTGAATTTCTGTGTCTTTATATTGTAGGCATTGCGAGCTTTAAGGACACTATCAGTTTGTAGCGCGAACGTCTGCCGTGAGTTTGTTGTATCTTTGTGTTGTAGTTGCTGTGAACTTTGAGGACAATACAAGTTTGTATCGCGAAGGTCCACCGCGGAAATTTTTTGTATCTCTACATTGTAGTCGTTGTGAACTAAAAGAGCACTACACTGTAGGTTTGTAGCGCGAACGTCCACCCTGAAAATTCCAAATCTTTGTGTTGTAAGCGTCGTGAACTTAAAGGACACTGATTTTCAAAGCGAATGTCCAGCCTGAAATTTCTGTATCTTTGTATTCTAGGCGTCGTGAACTTTAAGGACACTATAAGTTCTTGGTCCCTGGGTGCTGCCCTTT